AAAAAAAATGGGGTGGTGGTGCTGGGGTTGTGACACAGCGGTAGAGCGCTCGCCTAGCATGTCCTAGGCCCTTGGCTGGATCCTCAGCACCACATAAAAATAAATGAAAGTATTGTGTTCAACTACAACTAAAAAATAAATAGTAAAAAAAAAGGGGGGGGGAGATAAAAGAATATACATTGATGCAGTTTTTTGGAAGGCAGTTTGAATAAATCTCTGATCACATCATTATGTAATCTATTGAACTACAAATTCCTATGTTGTAGAAATAATATACATAAAGACTCACAGAAATTTGTTTTAACAATCTTGAGAACAAAAACCAGTGGCAACAGTTTCAATTAGGGACTTGGTACTTTTAGTACTTTACCATTGTAGAATTCTGTGCCTCTATACACAGGAATGGGATGTTTACTGTCTGATATGAATTGAGAGAAACAACAATTTGCCTTATAGCATTAATAGTGGGACTGAATTTTTGTGAAATAAAAACTAACAGGATGAACCTTCAGACAAATGAGTATGTGTGTTCTTAGATATGTGTGCATGTTACATACATTCTAGAAGAGAACTTGGAGAGATTTCATTGTATTAAGTGGAATTGCTTATATTTTCTATGGGGCATATACTGCTCTAGTTTAAAAAATTTAAAAAGGTTTCTAAAAGTTTTTTTTAAGTTTTTGTTTTCTGGTGACATTTTGGTGAGTGCAAAGGGAAAGGAGAGGGTAGTTTGCATAAAATTCTATATCCATATTCTGCATAGTAACATAAAACCTTCTAGTGTACTGGCAAACATGGCTATCTTGTTTCAGTTACTGTTTGCTTACTTGGGTATTGTGACATTTTGACACTTTTGAGCCAAGTTGCTAGGTTTGAATGCATTAGATAACACTATTAGAATGTTGATTGTCTCATCTAGATAGTTACAATTGGTTGACTTCGGTTGTTATTATTATGATGAATATTATTGTTTATAAACTGTCACATAAAAATGCACTCTTCTCCCTTTGGTGGTCTTGGGTAGTGGCCAAATGAGGCCATCTTAAGAAGATGAAGAAGATGTGGCCAAGATTCCTCCTTACTGTGACAGTGATGGACAGAGTAGATGCAGGGTTTTTTAGGATCAGGATCTGGAAAAACCTGTGCCCTGTAAACCTAGTGCTAAGGTTATACTTCTCATTTCCCTTGTTGGTAGTTCCTGGTCATAGCTATAATGTTAGTTTAACTAGACTTTCGATTTAATTATAACTTGTTAGGATAAAGTCAGATGTCAGCTCACTTGGCTGCATGCTGAGGCCTGTAGAATATGGAGTGCTTTGCTCCTAACTGCATCTGTTGTCTCCTCTCATTATCTGTTAATGGTACTCAAGTTGACAGGGTTGTTTTGATAAATGAAGGGAGTTGTGAAACCAGGAGGTGGACTTTGTATGGAATGGAGTGCAGGACAAAAGCTAGCAATGCCAGACAAGGCCAGGGAGAGATCATGTAGTAGCCAAGCAATGCCAAATGAAATACTCACAGCAATAATGTGTATTAATTAGGGGGGTAGGGGTGGGTTAAATCTAATATTTTTTCATCTTACACAGTTATTCTTTCATTTTTAATATTTTTAGATGCAAAACACCTGAAAAAATTGTAGTTCTTGTATTAATTTCCATTTCTGCTCTGCAGATCCCTCAATTTACAGATTCACTCTAATGGTGCTTAAAATCAGTTCTTCACTTTGAAGAATGTGAGTGGGGTTTGGAACGGTTTGTTACCACTGACTGGAAGCCCTCAGGTGAAAAGAGCTCTTATGTAAGCTTCCATGTTCAGGAACATAGAGGCTTTTTATTTGAAGAGGAGAAAAATGCAAATAAAGTTCAGTGCCAAAGAGGGGTGAGGATTAACTCCTCTCTTTGGAGAAGAATTTGGTAGTACTTTTGCATTCCAAGAAGCTTGAAGACAAACTAGTGTACAAGGTGTACAAGTGCTTTCCAAGTTTTATATTTTGTTTGTATTACTCAGTGTGTGTGCAAAATTTATTGGTGTGCCAGTTTACCTGCTTCTGTCTACATATTGTTTAAATGCCAATAAGTAGGAAAAGCTTGACTTGAGTACATTAATGATGGCTTCTGTACCTCATCAACTCTCATAAAAACATAGCTTGCAAATAGAACCCTGGTTAAATTATTCAGGGTTTTTATGATTAATCCTAGGCACAGTTATTTACATTTCCATAAATTGGGGATAAAAGTTATTTTACTAGACTTATGAAGATTAGTAGAAGACATATTTATTTGCATAGAGGCTACTTACTTGAGATACTATACTGCTTGTTTGAGATAGGCTTCTTCATGCCAACAAACATACAGAGAATATACAAAATGAGTAAAATGGGGTCGTTGCCTTCAGTTCACTTATCATTCCACAGATCTGTGTGCTTGACACTGGAATTTGATGATAGCAAGTGTATAGAACCTTCCCTAATGGAACTCTGTCTAGAGGAAGCTATGACATTAATCAGAAAATCACCCCAATGAATTACAAACTGAGATAAATGCTCTTAAGGAAAGGAACACAGTTCTGTGAGGACTTATAATAAAGGAATTTGACCCAGAATACGTCCTCAGGGGAAACTTTTCTGAAAAAAATGGTATTTGACCTGAGATTTAAAGGCGGGAGCAGGCTTTAACTTGTCTGTGTATGTGGTAGAGAGGCCAGGAGATTATTCCTGTTCAGTGGGAAGAAGCAATGCAGACCACAGGTAGGAATTCTAATACCTGGGGGGAATAGAAGGACTGGTATAGCTGGAAGGTGGGGTAGTAGATGTGGGTGGATCAGATCAGCAGAAGATGCAAGAAAGAACAAAAGACTTTGTGTAATAAAATGCCATCAAAGCATTTAGACTTCCTCAGAGGCTAAGTACAGTAGGAATTCTGAACTTAGAAATTTGATAGTTCTTACCAGCCTTTTTCAATTCAGTATAAACCAGCACTTTTTAAATGGTTTGTGGAGGAAAAACGAACAAACCCAAACAAACTCTCCTCAGACTTTGCTACAAGCCTGAATATAGTTGGTAAGAAAATGGAAGTGAGTCCAGGTACAGGAGGAGATTTTGTAGGCAAGCCTTAGGATGAATTTCATCTCTTAGATATGTGAAGTGATCTCAAAGCCACTTGATTGTAAAGCATATTTTTTAAACCTCAGGATGGTTTCATTGAGGAACAGTGTTTAGTAGAGTTGATACAGCTAGATTTGCACTTAGACACCTCCTTGTTTGTATCAATGACAGCCACCTTTCAGGATGGCTTAGAAGTGCTTCATTCATTCTTGCTCTCAGGACATATGCTATTAGTTTTAGATATTCCAGTCTCTGTAGAATAACTTGATCTTTATTTAAAAATGCAGGAATGGTCTTTAAATAGCACACATGCCTGTCAGTTTGGTTATTTGGCCCAAAGAGGAAGGGCCTGTGGGCTTCCTCTTTGAGAGACTTTAGACAAATCACTTTAATCTGTCTGAATCTCTCTGCTTATTGGTTAGAGGGTGCCCAATAATTCAACAACTTTCAGGGACCTTGGAAAGTCTAATTAACATTTATAAAGCTATTTGAGAGTTCCTTGAAACTTGCCTGGAAAGTCCAAGGAATAATATACAGTAAAGGTACCCAAAGCGATCATTCAAATGTTGAATTTGTAACTTTTAAATTTGGGCTGATACTGAGTATTTTGAATTCATATTCTATGAGAATCATTTTTTGTTAAAAATTTTTTTTAAGAGGACAAAAGGGTGCTGGGCATGGTGGCCCAACCCTCTAAACCCAGCAACTGGGGAACTGAGGCAGGAGAATTGCCAGTTAAAGATCAGCCTCAGCAATTTAGTAAGGCTCTAAGCAACTTAGAGAAACCCTGTCTCAAAATAAGAAAGGGCTGGGATGTAGCTTGGTGGTAAAGCATCCCTAGGTTCAATATCTGGTACCAAAAAAAGAAAAAACCCAACACCACACACATACACAAAACACCTTGGCTATTACTACTAGGCAATACATAAATGCGATTTAATTTAATGTTAATGAAATTTAGCATGTTGATGTTTTACATTTGAAAAAATTAGTGCATTATAATTATATATAATGGTAAATTGATGAATTTTTAAGACTTAATGCGGGGGGAGTTAACAGTTGGAAATTGTCTTTACATGCATATACAAATGGAATTAATGAGGGAGTCTGGAATGTAGTAGCCAGTGAGTTACATGTTTATTTAAAGCCACATGGTACGGAATGTGCATTTATTTTGCTTCCTTATTAGATGAATTTCAGTCAAGCCCAATTTAAGCTGTGTCTTGTCTAGCAGATGGGTCTTTATTTTCGTGTAGTAAAGGGTTTGGAGAGATTTTATATCAAATGACTTACAAAGAATTCTTAAACTGTAAAGAAAATTGAGGTCGGAAATGTTATTTTGACACCAATGCTGCTTTCTCCTATGCATCATTGAAACAAATGTTTGGCTTGTCTATGGTTGTTGGTTTCATCTGCATTTGTTAGACGTCAGAAGTGGTTGGCATTATTATTCCTGGCAGAAGCAGAGGCAGTTCTAGGATGTGTGAACTGCTGATCACTCACGGGGATGCGCTGCCTCTTTAATATCTTGCTTGCAGATGCATTTTCTAGCTGACCACGCTATTAAGAGCTGCCATCAATCACACAGCCTCCCAGTTCCGGCTGTCGGGAAGGGAGGGAAGAATGAGGGGAACCGAGGCTGGCTAAGCAAGGAAGGAGATAAAATTGCAGCGGGTATTGTGTGTGTGTGTGTGTACGCGCGCTCGCGCGCCCACAGCGGTGGCGGGCAGAGGCGCGCGCGGAGCCAGCAGGGCTCCAGTCCGGGTTTTGCCGGCAGCCGCTGTCGTGGGGAGGCTGTTCTTTCTCCCTCTGTGTCTGGGTCACAGGCAAGTGGCAGTGTTGGCCCGGCCGCCCAGGCTGTAGGTGCGGGAGCAGAGCGTGGTGGCCACGGGCAGCAGGCGTGGGCCGGAGCGGCTGCATTCTCCAGCCGCGGGCAGAGCCCGGCCCGGCCACCCCCCTCGAGCCCCGGGACCTGCGGGCACTCAGCGCTGCCCTGCGGCCGAGCTGGCCTCCTTTTGTTTGGCGAGTGAATTTCACCATCCCGCACCACCGTCCTGCCCCTGCCCCCGCAGGGAGTTTGCTGGCCCTGAGCAGAGGAGCAGCGCGGGAGGGCTCGGCCCCTGCTGCCGATCTGCAGCTGGCAAGTGGCCCACGGCCTCGTGCCGGGAGGGCGAAGCGGTTTCGGGCAGGAAGTTGGGCAAGCGTGGGCGCGGGCGCTCTCGGAGGTGGGTGTTGCAGTGTCCAGCTGACCTCAGAAAGATGAACTCGAGTGTCGAGAACGTCAGTGGTTTTCCAGCAATAGGTAGCGGGGGTTCATCGTGTCTCCGTTTGGATTCCTAGCATGTTAGTTGCCTCAAACTCTGGAAATTTCAATTAAACTGAACAGAAAATGTCTCTAGGGCAGAGAAAGCACTATATGAATGTGTATATACATTTTCTTCAGAAAGGAAAGCCTGTATAATGCTAAAGTAGTTATTTGATTTGAAAATCTCATTGCTTATAGTGAAGTAAATTGAAGCTTAAAAATAAGATTCAATTCGATTATGAAGTAATGTGGGGCTACTAAAGCCCAAATATAATTTGTTTTTTTGGGGCAAAAACAGGGTTATTTTGCCAGAATAGCCAAAATGCAGGGGGGGGTAAGTCTTGAAGATTTCTTCAAGTTTAAATTGTGTGCTTATGTGTGTGTTGGGGGGGGTGGCGTAGGAGGGAAGGGAGATGTATGTGTGGTGGCTTCCCCGCTACCCTCTCCTCTTCCCCTTGTTGACTCAGATCTCCTTCTCTGAGGCCTTAGGGAGACCTGCTCGACCACTTTCAGTTTGCTGAGAAAAACTCACGTAATAGGTTACTTTGTTTTACTCTCAGTCTTTAAGCCTCCCTTGCGCATGTGCCATTGCACTCCGTGGGGCATTGTTTGGCTAGAGTCTTCCTTTCAGCCATATGGAAAATGTAAAAAGTGGTATGTGAAAGAATACAGGGGTCAGTAGATTACATGTTTCCTTTGAAATTGTATGCATGTGTTCTTTAAAGATTGAGATTTCTGAGTAGAAGTAGAAAACAGTGACCAAATCTTGGAAAATTCTGTGTCCAAAATACTGTACTGAGCCCTCCCCCCACCCCCCATACTCCAACTTTAAATTAGTCATGATTTGAAGCCTTACACATGGGAACAATATCCTATGGAGGCCCCTTGCTCTGTGGGCAATTGTTTCCAGAAGCACACCCACTCTGCATTTTAAAGCATGTGGATTTGGGCCCTGAGAGGCAGTTGCCTTTTTGAATATTTACATTGCCTAGTAAATCAACACAAGGACTGCTTAACAGCAGTTTCTCAGTAGTGTGAGGGCACCAGTTAGGTGCTTGTATTTATTTTTTTCAACTCTGTAATTTACTGTGTTTAAACTATTTTATAAAGATCTCTGGGACTAGTGAAAGGTGGTTTTTAGTCCAGAGCCCTTGAGTGCTCATTGTACTCTGGCAGGCGCTAGGGCTTGACTGGCTGTGTTTGAAATGTTATTTGATCTCCTTGCATGATAGAATTGACTAAGATTACACTTTTTCCTTCCCTGTGGTCATTGAAAGTGATGCATCAATGAGAACTGTTCAATAACATAAAGACTTAACCCACATCCATTCACTGTAAGGTTTCCAGAAAAAGGCCTTTAGATTTTTGTCTTGTTTTTGTGGTTTTCCATTTATGAATTGAGGTGAGAACTAGTGTGATGTAGCTGAACCACTTCCTTTGTGTGTGTGTGTGTGTGTTTATAGTTTATTGGATATGTTCCATTCTACGTTGTTGTGGTTATTTCTGAAATGTTTGTGTATGTGCGTGCACACAAACTCCCACCCCCCAGCTTTGTGTTTATTTTTGTGTTTATTATTATTATTTTTAATTACATTGTAGGTTAGGGAACAGAAGGGTGAGATGGTGAACCTTGTCAACTTGTCATTGCGGTTCAGTGAACTGCTTGTGTGTTATGCAGACTAGCCTTTCATTTTAATTAGTGCAACTGTGTACAGTTGTTAGGTCAGAATACATTGGCTGCTCCCACAGGGTAGTTTTATCTTACTTTGGAGATTTTATGGATTTGGCTGGCTATGTTTCTTAATCCTCCTCCCATGGCCACTGTACTTTTTTTTTTAAGCAAATGATAGAACAAGACAAGTTTTTATTTATTCATGTGAGAGTTTATTTGTGAGAGAATTATTTTTGGTTTGAGGAAACTGATAAACGATATACCTTATTAATAAGTATTACATTTACGGGGTTTTTCCATCATTAAAGGGCTTTGTTTGCAGTTGTGTAGTCCAAGAAGCCAATAGAACCATCCACATATAATAGGAAACCAATGTTTTTGCTTAAAAAAGGGGATAGGTCTTTGTTTTCCTAGTCTAGAGTTAGTTTGTAAAACTCAGAACAAATAAACATTAGTATTAATGGCATAACATGGTTAGAATGTTTCCCCCTTCTTTCTTCTTAGAGTGTACAAAGGGACCCAGAGACACTATGGGCTGGATGATGAGTATAGAAGGGTTTAGAAATGTCTCTGCCCAGGGGCATGTGTGGACAACCTTAAATTTTAAAGTATGTTATTGGCTCCAAGTTATTAGAAAGTATGTACTTTAAGATTGGATTGGGGGCTGGGCCTGTAGCTCAGTGGCAGATCGCTTGCCTAGCATGTGTGAGGCACTGGGTTTGATCCTTAGCACCACATAAAAATAAACAAAATAAAGGCATGTTCTCCCCCCCCCCCCCAATTGGATTGGTTTGAGCTGGTTTAGTCTCCAACGTGTACACACACACACACACAGGAAAGATTTGAAATTTTGTGTTTTTTAGGCCCTGGAGATTGAACCCAGGGGCACTCTACCACAGAGATATGTCATACCCAGCTATTTTGAGATAGGCTCTATGCTACATTACCTATGCTGTCCTTGAATTTGAGATTATCTTGTCTCAGTTTTCCAAATAGCTGGGGTTACAGGTGTGTACCACTGCACTAGCTGGATTTAAATCATTGGATACAGACCTGTAATAAAGTCAGGCCTTGCAGGGTGAAGCAGATTATGTTATGAATAACCTGTTTTCTCAGTGGTCAGGTCTCCTTACTGTCCCCTTTGCTGTTGAGGAGATAAAATTATCTAGAGCTGTCTTTATCACAGGCTTCCAGCGTTTTTGTACCGTACACTTTTAAAAAGGAGCTGAAGTCACAGAAACAAAAATGGGTCGATATTTATAAATAAACCGTTTGGTACTGTTTTACTGGTGGATATGGTATAGGGGGATTGGTGTGTGGTGGAAAGGAAAGTTAGCTTAGGTGGGGATATTATTTTTTTTTAACTTAATGGATAAAATTATCCTTCTTAACCTAAAATGAGGAAAAAGAGAGTACAACATGTGTAGAAGATGTGGGAAAATATTTTCTCTAGTTAGAGAAAATAAAAAGATTTAGTTTGGCCATGAGAGTGCTGACTTTAACAAAAAAGAGGGAAATAAAGAGGTATTCTATGTCCATTTCAAACAGATTATTTCAAAAGTTCATTTTTAAGTCTTTTGTTGTGACCATGTTATTTGATTCCAAATAATGGTGATTTGGGTCTTAGACTTGCCTGCTGAATTCTAATTAATCCATGATATAGTCCACATAACATTTGTAATGAAAATGAAAAACATTAATGTTGACATTTACTTAGCAAAAAAAGTCAGTGTACTTATTTATTTATGTATGTACATATGTATGTAAGTATGTATGTATGTATGTATGTTACGGGGGTTGAACCCAGGGGTGCTTAACAACTGAACCACATCCCCAGTTCTTCTTAAACTTTTTTATTTTGAGTCAGGGTCTTGCTAAGTTGCTGAGGCTGCCTTTGAATGCAATCCTTCAGCCTCAGCCTCCAGAATCATCGGGATTAGAGGTGTGTGCCACCATGCCTGGCCAAATTAATTGTAATCTAGCTCAGTGTTTTTTTTTTTTTTTTAAAATGCAATGCTGGAATCCTACCTGTGACTTTGCACCTGCTAGGTGAGCACCAACTCAGAGCTATACTCCCAGCCCTCATTCAGTTTTTATTACTGTCACAGGGAGGCTTTTCTGATGTAATTAGGTCAGTTTATTCAGTGTAGCCTGCTAGTCAACTGCTATGCAAAGAGTTGTTCTTAGTTCTGCTGCTTATTCTGAGATTTTGAGTTGCTTACCTTCTGTGGCTGCTTCCTTAATTGACATGAGGAAATGATGACTACCTGTAGGGCCTGGGTCGTGTTTAATCTGTTTTGTGTTGCTCTTATAGAATACCAGGGACAAGCTCATTGACAGCAGTAGAGATTGGTCTTGGCTCACAATTCTGCAGGTTGGCAAGTTCATGAGCACAGCACAAGCATCTGGTGAGGGCTTCATTGTTGCCTCATCCCATAGCAAAAAGTAAAGGGCAAGAGGGTACCTTCTCATGATAGCTAACCCACATTTTAGACAACTTGATTACCTCTTAACTAGGCTCTTCTTCCTAACCCTGATGTATAGGGATCAAAAGTTTCCAATGTATGAAATTTGGGGGATATATTCAAACCATGGCAGGACAGAGTGCCTAGGACTGTGCCTGTCACTTAACAGCAAATTCATAGTATTAGGGAGCACCAACTGACTATGTGCTCAGTAATATTTTAGGTGTGACAACATAAAAAAGAGAAAGTTCCTACCCTCCCAGCACTTCCATTGCAATGGAGGAAAGCAAAACAAATAATACAAAAAGGAGAGCATAATGATTTGTGAAATTTCCAAAGATAACTTCTGGGCATGTCAGCAGTTTTTAGAACTATTACATGAGAAGTCTAACATCATTCTATAAGTCATCATTTTTTCCATGATAACAAATGCATTCTTTATACTGTTGGTGGGAGGATGTATTAGCTAATGTTAACAGTTTGGGGTTCATGTGTAGTGGAGGAGGAGGCAGGGACTTTTCCTGATAAAAGGTGTGTGGTGGGGTGAGAAACCAAAAAGAGATTAAAGAATGATTTGTTAGTATAAGTATTCAAGATTAGACAGGGAATATTTGAATCATGGCTCATCTATACAAAGAAATACTATGCAGCTATTAAAAAATCATTGTGATATAGGGGATAGAGGTATAGCTCAGTGGTAGAGCACTTGTCTAGCATGTGCCAGGTCCTGGGTTCCATCCCCATCAATGGGGGAAAATCATTATGATATAAAAAAATAATGTA